CACGTTCGATAGATTTAAGATGGAATTGAAAAGTCATTGTATGTAAAAAATTCGAGTTATGATTTTTTAAAATTTCATTGAAGAAATTAACCCAGTCAACCTTGAAGCTCAGTAAATAAGAAATATCTTCAAGTAAGTTCTAGTAAAATAAGCGCTCAATTTAAATCATTTGAACTGTGTAATTTCACGTAGATTATTTTTTGTGTGGCTTGGTGGGTGTGTGTTTGCGCGCGAAACATCTCTGAAAACTGCAGCCTGTCAAATTCCACAAACAGTTCATGTCAGAGCGAATACTCATAAAGAATCATATCGACTAGCCCATAGCTCGGCTAAAAATCAATCGCAGTTGGAAAAGTAATTCCATAAGTGACTAGTTGTCAGCATTTCGCCGCTCCAATAGTAAAGAGCTGATACCTTAAGGTAAAATCTCTAGCAGATTAAGTGATATAATTGAAGTGACCAATCGTGAAGATCCGTTTTAGACGCTGCTAGTAATTATTATGTTCCGATATATTCTGAACCTTTCAAGAGCATCAACGAGATCTGAAATAAATCTACCAGCAGTCAATAAGGTCATATACTCTTGAAACTATCGATGACTTGTGATGTCTAATGCAGAAAAAAAATTTGATTGATCAATCACCACAGTTTCACCATCGCCGGTGAACTCTCAAAATACAAAAAAAAACATTATCCTACAGGGTTGAGCAAAACTGTAGCATGCTATTTAAAAAAATATATATAATTTGTTTCGTTTCGTTAGGCCTTATGAAAGTGAAGCTGCAAAATTTAACCCCAGTTTCACACAGGCGAAGCGGAGCTTCGCATCACTTGCGATACAAAATAAACTTTTTGTGTGCCTCGATAAAAATTCATTCTACATGCCTGGCAAAAAAATTGAATAATAAATTAACAACGGAACATAACTTACGAAGCTGAAACAAACGAAGTGGGAACCTTCGAATTTAATCAAAATCTTATACTACTAATAATAATACTACACAAAGCCTACAATCTTTGAGCAGACATCCGTTGAGCTGAAATTGATATCGTAAAAACGTTTTAAATCCCCCTGAAAATACAAGAAACAACATTTGTACCTATAAAAAGGACAGCCGGTTACTGTGCAAGTAGCACAGAACAATGCGACCAGTCTTAAAACATAAAAATTAACTTTTTCAAATTAATCATTTTTTCTGAGTGGTGTGATAAAAAATCTGAACAAAAAATTAGACAAATACGACACCAGGTTGAATAAGCCAATTGGAAACAGTTTTTGCAGAAAAAATGGCTAGAAAAACGAAAAAAAAAACGTTTAACCAATTTTTAAAACATTTTCTGACTTTTTTGCAGAAAATTTTTGAATTTTTGATTCTCAAAATGGCACTAAAAACTCGAAAAACTAACTTTACTCGAGTAAAACTAAGTTTTCACGGCATAATTTAAGCTTAAATAAGATACTGTAAGCCTCCATGTCCACCTTAATAGCTCGAAATAAGACCAAAAATCAAAAAATTCAATCCTGACTTTGAACGTACAACAAAAAAAATAAAACACCCCAATACAGTTTGCCCACAATTTTCAAATGGTCGGAACAATAAGAATTGTTCAGATCACAAAAAATCAGTGATCTTCTCATTTTCTTTTCACAATAAAATTTGCTCTTCAAGTGCAACTAACTTAAGCAAAGAAAGCGATTGAAAACTTAATTGGAAAATAAGCAGTAACAAAAAGATATAATTTCTCAAAATATTAAAAACAAATGATGGCTGACAAAAAACAGTGATGAAATCGGATAGAGCTACACGATTCCGAAGTGTCGAAGAAATTAAGCTTTTGAGCAGACGCATCCTACTGCAGATTCTCTATCACTTTTCATTTATTTAAGTTAGTACTACTTAAGTAGGCCTAAACACTGAAGTGTCACCTTTCAAGAGCATTATTTGTTCTGGCTAATCTGTTAAGGGTAGATCTAGTTGCTCAAGAATGACACCTATAATTGCTGCCTTTGTTGTTGAAATTTTCCTCGCGTCGAGCTTCCCATTTGTATCATACCATCTCTATTTTACTCCCTTTTGGTTGCTAGTGGATGTTCGTTCTTTGTGACGACTTCTGCTTTTTAAGACTAGTCTTTGGAGCTGTTTGTGATAAAATTATTTAATTTCTGATTGATTTTCTGAGCTCTCCCAAATAACTGTAAAGACCGTTATTTAACCAAACGCTCTGCGCCGCAGTCAAATTTTTTGAAAAAAGGCCAAAAACGGCGTTTTTAGGCATTTCTTGGGGTTATTTTGACCAAAAAAAATCGCATTTTTTTTGGCGAGCTCTCCCCTCAAAATTAGTTATATTGGCGCCAAAGGTTGCTCAGCCAGATTGGATTTTGTAAAGTTATACCAAAGGGTTCTCCCTTTGGTATAACTTTACAACATCCATTTTTGGCTGAGCAACCCTAAAAACTTTCTAATAGCGCCAATATTACAATTTCGAGGGGGAGCGCGCGCCAAAAAAACGCAATTTTTTGGTCAACATTTTCCAAAAGTGGCTAAGAATTCCTGTTTTTTGAAAAATTTGACAAAATAGGGTCCTTGTAGTATTTTCAGAGAGCTCGTAAAATCAAATTAGCCGACCTAAATTAACCTCTCCCCCTACAAAAATTTCTGCGCACGCCACTGTTTGTATATATTTCGAAAATGCGTCGAATTAAGTTTTTAGTAGCCAGACTGTTAATTTTTGTAATACTGGCTCCAGCTGCCGCCTAATCTAGTGTCAACCACTTGCGATATCACACATCACACAAACATAGCATTGCAAGCTAGACAACAGTAAACCAGAGAAATACTGCCTGAAGTCGAAAAATGAAAAACTTCGAAAATCAGTACTACCAAGTTTTGCTGCAATGACGTTAAACTTGAGAAAATCACCCCCAGAACACACATATCGGTGTTACATAAGAACTCAGAATAATTTATCAAGCGGTAACTAGGCCGACAAAAACTATGTAAGCTCCCGTTTAGTCTCAAGCTAAGTTTTAAAATTTTACGCTCACTCCTCCGAAAACGCACAAAAGGATGAAGACCTACTTTTCCCTTCAAACTACAAAACTTAGGCCACGAAGCCGATCAAACATAAATCAAAACAATGAAATGCCAAATTAGCTTACAGCTCAAGAAAAATACGTGCTGTGATAACTAAGCCGAACAAACAGAAGCAGATAAACAGTAGGTCGACAACTTTTCTTAAATTGAGTTTTTCCGTTTGAAAAAAAAACAAGCCCTGGCGAGATTCGAGCTAAGAACGTTCGTCGTACCAGGCGCAGATATTAACCCTAGACCAAAAGCGCCAGACAAACTAAGAAATATGAATTCAGTTAAGGCTAACCTATCAAATGATTCATCAGCTTTTACAATCATCAAAAAACAGAAATTAACACAGGCAAAGCAAAGCCTCGCTACACTTGCGATAAAATAAAACATTGCAACACAAGATAGTGAATAGAAAGAGAAAGGAGTCGATTTTTTGAAAAATTACTTGAAAGTCGAAATTTCAATATTTTGTTTCAAACAATATTCATAAATAACTTTTAAATATACGGAGAAACATTTATCGCGCGACAACTAAGGCAAAAAAAATGGTTTTAAGGCAAAAAAACTTGGAGGAAAAAAATCAACAAAAAAATAATCATGAATCAGAATTTCACCATTAACACAACTTTCAATTTAAGTATAAACTATTCAAATGAAAGAAAAAACATTCTTTGGAAATCTGGCTGCTAAAAAGAATCAAATAATCACAGTCGTATTTGAAAAAAAAATGAGCCGATAGAAATTAGGACGAAAACGACGAATCCGAAAAAAAATCATTTGTCTTCATTACCATTATTTGAAAAAATTATTTACTAACTACTTTGAACTTAAAGGTGGTTTATTTGAACTCTATACTGCTGCAGTCACTTTCAAGTGTTGAACAAGACATTTTACGGAACAATTATACAGAAATAAAACAGATTATAAAATGACATTTGACAACGATCAACTCTTCTAGAAAATTTGAAGGAAAGTATCAAAAAAATTCGGATATAACATTTTTTCAGATTTAACAGCACTTCAGGCCTGCTTCATCTCAGGCAATTCCTTCTCACATGATGCGAGCTAGAACACAAAACATTGAAAAAAAAGTTCTTGTAGAGCCAGAACAAACTCGACCAGATTTGTTAGAATAGTTGTTTAAGGAAAACGCCTAGTTCTCGACAACAAGTCATTTGCTCTCGCAAGTCAATATAAAGTCTTTCGGTAGCCATACAAATTGTTGTTCAAAAGCGGTTGGTTAGGTCGAAATTGTCGGGAGAAATTAAAAACCTCACGCACAAATATTCAGACTCTTTTTTCAAAGTCGGAACAAAAAAGACACATTGCTCAGAAAAATTAGCAACCAATATCATAGCCAACAGACAGTTGGAGACAGTCAATGAACACTGGGAAACAAAAAAAAACTTATTTTTTTCAAAGTTGAAAATATATGGCCTTAAGGCTTTGAATTTCAAGACGATTTTATGATTGAAACTTTTTTTGATAAAATTAACTCCATTCGAGAAAACTGGATCAATAAATAAAGTTTTCATTTCGCTAAATCTAAAAATTAAAATCCACCTTCGAAACTAGACGACGCTCACGTTTTCGCACCACTTTTGCTTTCGTAATTGGATTTAGGGGCGCAATTTACCTAATTTTTAGCAGAGGAACTCAAAAAATCATATATACCTAAGTGCGTTCAAAATTGCATGAATATCGATGAATGGACATCTGTAGTTACTAGAGCATTTTAAGACTTTCTTGTAGCAAAAACACAAATATTTAAAGTTTTCATTGTTCTTACTAAGAAAGTTGCCTGATTAAATACACACTGCGCAATTTTTTTAAAATAAAAAAAATGATCCAGTCAGGAAGAGTTCGAAACAATTTTCTATCGCCGTCAAACTTCTAAGCAAATATTGCACCGCTGTCACTAAAAATTTGCTTTGAGACATTAATTAGTTATCCTTATAAGAACAGAACATTTCAAATTACCAGTTTAAAGTTGTGAATGTATATTTAATAAACAATGAAACGATTCTTCAAAACTGTGTTCTTTGTTCATATTTGTTTCAAAACATAGTGTTGACGCTTTCATGTCGCGTCATCAATTCTACTTACATCTAAGAGAAGCGTAAAAAGTTCTTGTAATTCCACCTGAAATGCCACCTAATTGTTTTCATTGAGACTCAACTTCAGTACGATTCAGAACGAACATTTGACTAAAAGTTGAAGAAAAGAAGAAATATGCTTGATGATGATTTCGATGGAAACCAAGTAATTGAAGATATCAAAAAGATCCTTGGACTTCCGATATACATCTGCTTTGCGCAAGATGAAAGCGTTTAAGTCGAGGAACTTTCACATGCTAAAAGTAAAGACCGCAGTATAATCAAGTATATGAGACGTTTAAGTCAGCGGCGAAGTCATTTTCTGAGGCCAGCAAGGCCCAAGAATAGTCGGTTACTATGTAAGTAGCACAAAGTGTTCCAACCAGTTATTTATGCATTGGCAAAAGAACCGAAAAACTAGAGATTTTTTTTATTTTTTGTTTTTGAGGAGCCTGAAGTTTAGCTTCACTAAATAAATACTTATGACTTTGATAACAACACCTATACTATCATATAAATTATACAAGTTTTGCAAGGACAAATGCAAATTTTTAATATTGCTATGAAAAACGTCTATTTTCAAGGGTCTTTATAACCATTTTCAGTTTGAATACAAAAAAAAACTCATTTTTGTCGTCTACAAATAAGTTATTCATTCCATCGGCATGCAAAAATCAAGCAAGGAAATTGAGAAAAAAAATTCAACCGCTTACTTTGGTTAACTCCGCCGTTAAAAAACTAGCATCATCCGGCTCACTGAAAGTTGACATAATTGAGAAAAAATCAATAAAAATGCGCCAGACATTTTTTTTTCTATTTTCAGCAAAAAAATTATTCGAAAAAAATATTCGATGGAAGAAATTCTCTGCTACTCCAACCGATGTTTGCAGCTTGGCGAGCAATGAAACCAATTTTAAATTGCACAAATAATTAGAAAACCCATCGTTTTTCTCAAATCAGACAATTTTTAAAATTTAACTAGGAGCCAAGAAAAATGAGCAGAATTTTCAACAAAAAACAAAAAACGGATCAACCGTAAAATCTCCTCTCCCTCCTAAAACACCAACCGCAGACGATCCATCCCAGCCATGTATTGCTTTTGAAAATTAATTCTGTATAAAGTATGCATTTCGATCAAACGCGCAAAAAAATTGGTATTCAGAGATTTATGTGGAATTGGTTTTAAATGCTTTTAATTACCTAAATTATTGTTTTTTCAATCAAATTTCTTTCATAAAACTGTTAATTTTATATAAATCTAGGCTACACTGAAAGTTAGTTCCGGAAAAATCCAAATTTCCAAATAGATACTGTACGGTTGATCTTGGTTAAATTCTTCAAAAAAAAAACACTCAAAAAAATTAAAAATATGGACACCATTCTTTCATTAGATTTTTTTTTTCAAAATGACGACATTGAGTGAACAACGTTTTTAACAGGAAAAAGTCTAATACTCGGTGGCAAAACCCTTGCTAATCGCAAGGTTAAAAACGATCGCTGATGCTCAATGGTGTGGGTACTTGAGATCTTTAGATAAAACTAGTCGAAAATTTCATTGATGTTTCAATTTTTAAAAACACTTTGGTGTCATATAAGCATAGGTGGTAGATTCAATTGAACATCTCGATCACTTTGGTTATACTTTACTCAAAAGGTAACAACGATGTACTTTTCTCAGCATCTTGTTCAGATTATAATATAATTTCCGAAACTATCAGTTCATTTGGGAATTTAGTTTTTTCAACAAAACAGTTGTCGGAAAACTATTTGCTACTTGCTTAATGTTGTTGTTTGGTGTTGTTGTTGTAGTAGTAATTAATGGAACAGTAAAAAGAAGACGGTCTCATTTGAGAAACCAATTCAGTGGTCTTCGTTTAAATTTGAATTACTCCCAGTTTTCTAGCGGTGACCAAGAATCATCGATATTTCTAGAAATCGATATTAATCTGATCATGTTTGGACAGACAACTTGTCTAACAATCAATGCATTCACATTCAGTAAACTCGCCATCAAATAGCAGTTCAAGTTAAAGAAGGATGTTTTTGATGCTTTAAAACACATCTATGTAGTAAGTACAAGTTGTAGTCGGCTGCTGTGGTTAAGCATCAGTAATTAAATGAAGATAATATCTGCAGATATTGTAATAAGCGATGCTCTGTAACACGAGGAATGTTGTTACTTTTGTCATGTAGCACAAGTGATTTAAATTTTTCATCATCATTTTCATCTTCAGTCTATCAAAAGAGATTTTGGCGTGAATGAAAGCATTGAAACTATAAAACAACCTTTTAGGTACCATTGTAACACATATCGCCCCTTTTAAAACTAGTTTTGGAATCTCTAAAGGTACAAGAGTATATGGATCTAGGAGTTTCCAAAAAAAAGTTTTTTTTTGTTAGACAGCAAGTATATCATTATGGACTTTCCGAGCTATCGCAAAAAACATTGGCGCCTCTAAAAAGTTTTAACGGGTCACCCAAGCAAGATACTAGTAGCGTAAAAGGACCGAAATGCAAAGGGATCCTTTGGGTTGTACAGGGGGTCTTCAAACTTTCACACGCTATCATAAACTCTCTACACCTCTTTAATTGCTATCACACAAAAATTGGATGTCGTGTTCTTTACCTAAATACATAAAACCAGTCAGAAACTCAACAAATATTTTGCAGATATGCAAAGTTCGTAGGAGTTAAAGCAGAGGTTCTAAAAAAGTATTTGGAAAAAGTGATTCAATACTTGCTCTATGATTGATTTTTTCCCTAATAATTACCATCTCAACACTTAAACTTCATACGTTCAATGCTTTCAAACTGACAGGAATTTCACGTGACAGGTACTTCTGGCACTTTCATGGTGTGAAATCAGTCATTGCATAATCAAAGTAGCTGGAAGAATCCGCGATGCAGATGCATTGAGTGACGCTGGACCAAACCACTCCATATATGCTTGAGTAAATGGCTTTTGCCCGTTGCAACAAACTTTAGAAGTAGTAAATTACAGATGTTCTTGCTACAAGCAAGCCTTTTCCATGCCTGTAAAGCTATCTGAAAACAGATCATAGTAGATGCGTCTGACCATAAAATCACATCGTCTTCTAAAAAATTTGAAACCGATCAACTTCAAGAACAAAAAAATTGAGCACATCACCTGTGATACCACGCAAACATAGAATTACTAGCTTTAAAAATCTACCGAAATCCACGTCAGAAAAAAAATCAAAAACTGTTGAGAAAACAAGAGTAAAAACTTAATAAGTGTGTCTCGAAAAAGTTCGAGAAAAACACGTCCAGCAAAACAATCGCCGGTTAAAAAAAGTGTTCAGAAACATTAGCACTAGAGTTTTCTATTGGAATTCGGATTTTCTGCACTCTGATTGGCCAACAATTCGACTAACTTAATCTACTAAACAATCCTCACCTTATCCAGAAAGGTAGGGTTCTGGATATAGGGAAGATTGTTAAGTAGATCCGGGTAAACTCCGTTGAAATCAATAATGAAAACCTTTCATAAAACTCTGAAGTTCTACGATTTTTGTCTTTTGTGATTCCACAGAAAGCGGAGCGTAAAAATTGTGTTTCCCTTCAAAGGTCACAAAATTAGGCCACTAAGCCGAAAAAAAAATTAATCCGAAACAACCTAGGCCGAAAAAATAGAGGATGCTTACACAGTCAGGGCTAGTAAACTTATACAAGATCGAAGTGAATCACAAACAATTGGTGCCTTGAAAATTGCCCCAAGCACAATGAAAACCGACCTTTTTCTCAAGTTTTAAAGGCATTTAATTCAAACTTTTAGATAATTTCAGCCTCAAGCCTCCGTTTACTTTTTCATCCAGAATGAAAGCTCCTGCTGCGCCTGAAAAAGACATATAAATTTTATGAAGAATACTCACATGTTTGTAACATTAGTTAATTTAGGTGATTGGATGGGTCTGAAGGCTGAATGGATGGATCGAAGGCTGGATGGATAAACAGCAAGCTGGATTGAACCGATGCATGGCTGGCTGGATAGCTGGCACGAACGATAGTCAGCTGGATGTATGTATGGATGGATAGATGGATGAATGACTGAAAAAATGGATGGCTATATGACTGGTTCGAACGATGATAATAGTTGGCTGAATTGATCGATGGATGGGTAGATAGACTGACTGATGGATGGCTGGAGGGAAGTATGGAATTCAAGCTGGATGGATAGATGGCTAGACAACGGGTTGCTAAATGTAGAGATGGCTTGCAGGCTGCATAGATGGGTGGCTCAATAGATGGCTGGTTGGATTGATGGACGGACGATGGATGGCTCGGAGGCTGGATAGAAAGTAACTTGGTCAGGAAACAAAAAACGGCTGATTATCCACGAGCATATTTGGGCAGCTGAATGAAAGAACCAACAACAATTTACTGATATCCATGACCAGAATTCTATAATCAGTTTTGTTGTCTCTAATATAAGCCCAAATTTCTGGTATAGGCGCCCAAAACATCTAATATGAGTATCTTCAAAACAGATAGGACCAAGTAATTTTTCCAATAATTTTGTCTTTTCATTTTTCCGCAATGTAAAAAAACGTCAACCTCATCAACTCCCCACAGATTCAATTTGCCTCCATAAATTGATAGTCATTGAGTTGTTTGGGCTGATATTTCTACCACAAAAACACCTTTGAAACTAGTTATCATTTATGACTATTTTAACCTTTCAAAACAAGATTTTTTAACTTTGGATTGGCTAGCTCCTTTCAAACAGTTTCATCTATGACATGCCAAAATGTCAACTGTATATTTAAAACGGGTGCCGGGAAAACCACAAAATCGGGAAGAAAACAATAGTTCATTTGCTTGTTGAAATCAATAACTTGCCACTTCTTTTTCCCGCGACTGTAGTTAGCCTTCGTTCCAGCCAATGATTTGAAATTGAACTTAAGACAGGCAATCACGGCGCAAAAAATACAACTTTGAGCGGAAAACTTTCAAGATTTTTTCAGTCGATCGTTTTATCCTAATTTTCAAAATTCTTCATTCCGTCAGTTTTCGATACAAGAAACTCAATTGTAAAAATAATAATTCATATCAGTACAAAAAAAGGGTGTCAAAAATTCGTTTTGCCTTTGCCTTCACTTCAATCATTGAATTACCCATTCATCCAAAATCTTAAACACAGAGGGCAAGCGGAGCTTCACACCACTTGCGTCACAAAACAGCAAAACAATTAAGTCGAGAAAAATCGAATATGTCAAAAACTAGATCTATCAAAATGAAGAAAAAAAGGCAATAGTATCGGAAATTAGCATTGGAAAAAACTTACCAAGCGATTAAAAGGTGAAAATATTTGTGCAGAAAAAAGTAAATCGAGAAAAAAAACACTTCAAAAAGACTTAAAAGTCAAACGGTTCTAAGAACCCCTCGCCCTTAATCAACACACGCACGCATACAAAAACTATTTTCGTCCGTCGAACAAAGCTATTCGGCCACTTTGCCGATTTAATTTAGAACGATACTTAATCGGCCAAAAAAAATAAAAAGAAATTCAATCATGTCTGATTCGAACCCATTACCTTTGCCGTTCCAGACTCATTCAATACCTCCAGACCAAGTGTACCGAAGACGCAAAGGTAAATAGGACCGGAGTAGAATACTAATATTAACAAAATATGTCTTTTGCGATAATTTTTTGCCAACATAGGCTTCTAGAAAATGAGTCCAGATGAGCCCTGTGAACAACGTTATTTACGGAGGAAAATATATTAACCGGTTGCAACACCTTTGCAAGTGTTAAACAAAGGTTGCAAGTTGCAAGTTGCAAGTCTTATTACCCTGTTGCAACATCTTTGCAAGTGTTAAGCAAAGGTTGCAAGTCTTATTACCCGGTTGCAAGTGTAAGCCTCCTTTTCGTAACGCTGTGCGAAAACTTTTGAAAACATATAACAGCTCAAATCGCTACTGTAAAATTAAAAGCTACTTTACGAATTAATAAATATTACATATAACTCACGGGGTTTTTTTTATGCATCTGAAACGCGCAATAACAAACCGCGCGCTGAGAATTGGCTTCAGATCTTGTGCGCACGAAACAGGGTAGGAAAATTTCCTATTGTTATAGGAAAAGTTTTAAACAGGTTTCAAAAAACACTTCACTAGAGACAATTTATCTTTTTGCTGAGAAATAAAATTCAAGCAGAAAAGATACTGCTTCAGTAGCCGGAAACAACAGCAAATTGCTGAAATACGTGCTTTAAATTCTCGTGCATAAAATTCTCATGCGTAAAAAAATTCTCGTGCTTAAAATTCTCGTGCTTGAAATTACGTGCTTAAAATTCTCTCCACAACTGCAAACTAACACTGTTCGACTTTCAATGTTTTTCTGAAAAATTTTTTGTTTCGTGTTTGTTTTTATTGAAATTTTTCAGAAAAACAAACGAACACAAAAATTTTTTAATAGAAAACATGCGCTTCAAAACCTATTTTAAAACCAAGATGTTTTAATTTTCTTACAACCCTGGTATGAAACCCTAGCAACTGATTTGAAGAAAAAAAACGGAGACAAAAAAAACGTCTACAAAACAGTTGCTTATCTCTTTTGACTTTTCTTATTGAAACTTTTCTGAATTCAAGAAATATAACTCAATTGTTGAAGATTTGCTGTAACTAAAAAATGATAATTATCGAGTTTTAATTACAACAAACCCAGAAATTATCTCTCAATTTTTGTAATTTTCGTAAATTCCTATTTCATGTTAAAATCGAAACTTCGATAATAAAAATGTTTAAAATATCATTTGTTTTTTTAATCAAATCGTATGAGTAAAATTGTAATAAAAAATCCGAGAGATAAAACATCCTGAGTTACCTAATTACAACTGAATTTAAAAAAATCTTTAATGCCGAATTACAACCGAAAATTACCTAGTTGTAATTTCTCGGCCATATTAAAGCCCGAATTACTACCAAAATTCTCCTTTTTGTAATTTCTCGGCCAATTTAAATCCCAAATTACTACCGAAATTTGCATTGTTGTTATTTCTCGGCCCATTTAAAGGCAGACTCAAGTGTAAAAATATCACAGCACAAATTGAGCTTCGAAGGGTTTGATAAATTAAAGAAATCAGCCATTTACAAAATTTATTCGGATTTATACTGACAGTTTATGGATTGAATTCAAAACAGCATCAAATGAAAATGAAAGAGCCGTTCTTTTAATTATATCTCACAATCCAAGCAAAGTAAGCAAAACTGAATTCAATGAAGAACTTGCTCAGTCGATTGATTGTGCACAATAGTCACTCGATATGATATTTATTACTCGATAGTAACATTAATATGGTACTTTTAGGCAATTTAACCCCAATTATCCTAATATCGAAGATAATGACTCACTTGGCACAGTTTTCACACCATATAATCTCGATGTTTCTAATAAAACAATTCATTCTCACTCGAAATCACTTAGACTACATACCATCTTAGTTTAAAAGACCCAACAAACAAATCAATCCCGTTCACACCTCCGACTCAACAGATCACTTGGCAAACATTTTCATAATTGAACTAAAAGTATGCGGAAAAAAACTCCCTTCAAGCGCAAAAACTGAGAAAAAAAATACTCAGAATAGTTGTTCAAATTAGATCTCAAAAAATCTCAAGTAATGAAAAAACGTCTACCAGCAAGGTAACCGAGAAGCAATGTTCAAGATATTCAGTCAACATATAGTTGAACAATTAAAATATGTGCTCCACAAAAGATAATCTTTATACGTAATGATAAACCAAAAGTAAACATACAATTTCGTATCGCAGTTGTTCAATTAAAAAACACCGAACGTGAAAAAAGGAACATTATTAAAGACACAAGAAACTCCAGGAAAATCATCTAACAGCATTTTTCTTGTAAAAAAAATGCCTTCGGAGAGATAATAACAAATAGCTTCAAATTGACAGATCTCCTGGAATTTATATTTTCAATACTAGTTTGTTGCTATGAAAAATACACCAAATGCTGTCTGACTGAAGAACCACATCAAAACAAACCTAATACTAAAACTCGATTTTCGTTCAGATTCTTGACCACCGTAGAGTGTCAACAGAATTTCGCAAATTTAATTCAAAAAAGCCGCATGGCCCATCTAACATTCCATCATGGGCCCTTTAAGATGATTGCAAAAAAATCTAAACGCATCTTACTTTTCTTTTCAATGATTTACAATATTTTTTGATTTTTTGATTTACAATATTACAATATTTTTCCACGAGCTAAAAAAAACAATTGTCACACCATTTTACAAAAAAGATGATACTGAAGTACCTGAAAACTACATGTCTCTCTCAATTACTGGAGCATTATCAAAAGTGTTTGAAAAATTACTTAATTAACAAAATAACGAATCTCTTGCACCTCAAAACCTTTTAGCAACACTCAGTTTGGCTGTAAAACATCGTACTGAAAAACTGATGCTATTTAATTTTGCACGGGATCATTCACAAAATTGTTTGATACCAACAATTTTGTTGCTTGCTCTTTATTAGATCTGTCGAAGGCATTTGATTCTATTGAATATAACCATTGAATACAAAAACTCGAACAACTAAATTTTTCAGAACCTACTATAGACTTGGTAAATTGTTTCATAAGTGACCGATGCTAGAAAACTATAATAAATAACACTGATCAGGACTGGATCTCACTTGAGATGTCCTAAAACAGTGCCTTCAGGGACACCTTGATTAAGTGAAATCCAGTCCATTCCAGTGTTATTTACTATTGTTTTATGGCATCGGTCGCTTATGAAAGAAGTTACCGAGTCTATAGCAGGTTCTGAAAAAAATAGTTCGAGTTTTTGATTTAAATGGTTATGGACAATAGAAACAAATGCGTTCGGGATATCTAACAAAGAGCAAGCAACAAAATTAGTGCTATCAATCGATTTTCTGAATGACACCGTGCAAAATTAGATAGCATCAGTTGTTGAGTATGATGTTTTAAAGCCATATTGAGTGTTGCTTAAAGGTTTTGACTTTGAAGATATTGATTATTGTGCTTGTAGTAAGTAATTTTTCAAACACTTTTGATAATGCTCCAGTAAGTGAGAGAGGCCTGTTTCAGGTACTTCAGGATCTTTGTATATTGGTGTGACAACTGCTTTTCTATAGCTTCTGTGGGAAAACATATTGTTTTTCAGGTATTCATTGAAAAGAAAAGTAAGATGCGTGTAGATTTCATTGCGAGAAAATGACAGGTCCTAAAACAATGCCTTGAGGGACACCTTCATCATTTTCAACGATCTTAACAAGCAACTAACTAACTCATGCAAAATAGTTCAATATGCAGATGACACAATTCTTTTCCGTGAGGATAAAAACATTAAAACTGCACTTGAAGAGCTTGTAATATTGAAATCCCAATAATTTATCACAGCACTTTTGGAGACACTTACTCCAACTTAATGCTTAAAAAAACAGATCTTATCATCTTCAGAAGAAAACATGCTAGAATAGATGATCAACGATACACAATTGCCCTGGACAAAAATATTATTGAAGAAAAAGTGAAATATCTCGGAGTATTAGACCAACTTTTAACATTTCAAGACGAAGTGAAAATGATCTTAGGAAAAATGGCCTGCGGTATTGAAGCACTGCAGTCGATCAAAAAACCCCTTCCTATCAAAACAAGACTACTATTGATAAACGCACTCCTTATTAGTCACCTGCACTATCCTACCATCCTTTTAAATGGAACTTCAGCAAATTTGACAATCTCATTAGAAAAACAACTTAGTTGGGCAATTAAAACTTGCTGTGATCGTGCAAAAATCGATTCATCATCTAACCTTAAATTAAAACACAATGTATTTCCAGTAACAATGTTTCTTGAAAGGAAAGTAATTTGTCATTTCTGGAGAAAAAAAACATCTCTTATTACCAGCTTATGAAAAAATTCAATTTGAAAACAATCGCAAAAATGAACACAAAAAATTTTAAAAAATTATATTTTGTCGAAAGATTTAATGAGCATTACATCAAAAAACCGTTTTTTTTTTAACATCAGTACACATTTGGAATAGGTTACATGACAAAATCAATTTCAAGAATAACCTTACGTACAGAAAAACAAAAACAACTTTTAAGGATTATTACTTACTGTTCGAAGAAGATCCAACAGTGGTAACCTATGGAAAAAATTTCATGGAGACATTTCAAATTTCTTTAATGATATTTCGTAAGATAGTGATACTATCATTTAAATGCGTAAAATTGTATTATTAAATTTGAGTGCATTTGACAAAAATTATAAGCACAATTTGATTCACAATTTTCATTTGAAAATACTTTCAACTGGCAAATAAAGTGATTTCTTTAATTTGAATCCTATTTCATCAGTGAAAGAACGATGTCAATGAATATACTCTGAATTATAAACAATATCGCGAATGCCCAGATATGAGTTAACTTGTCTGTTAGTAGTTCTCCTTTAACATGTAGATATACAGCCATTGCCAGAATCATGAAGTTAACCGGCGCAAATAATCCAAACAAAATAATGTCTATTCGAGAGTTTTTCGTCGAAGATGACACAAATACTGCCATCAGAACTAGTGATACAACTAATAAAACTGACACTACAAACATTGTCAGTTTCTGCAACAGAACCATCTTCGTTGAATCTATCCTGCTCTTAAAAATTCCCACATTAGCGGTAACCGCACTGCCATATGTACCAGTGGTATTCGACATAATATATACTTAGATACGAAGTTGTAAATACTCGCTTATTTAACAACACGGCAAAACTGGCGAATCTTAGCTACCGAAATCAAAACAGTTGATCAAAGTTTAAATTGTCAAAATAGTCTATAGCCAAATATGTGTTTGTTATTCCATTTAGTTTTATTTGTTCAGTAGTATTTGGTTATGAGACTTAATCTGTGGTAACATTTAGTCGCAGTTAGCGTCACCTTCGGAATTGCCATCTGGTTTCACTTCAACAGTGCCAGAAATTCGTCTGTTTTGGAGGTATCACCGGGCGGTTTTGGAACAGAAGTGTACCTAAAAAATACTACAAATAGGAACCATGTCATCATCATTAACTTGAGATTCTTAAAAAAAAAACTTTTAGATAGAATTAAACCTAATGGTATTATCATATTTGACTTTTTGGAGTTAAAACTACTCACTTGTTGACAATGTAAATTGAGGACCAAAATGAGATGATGACCCACATCATATTCCATCTTCCCTTCTGACTGGTGTAGTTGACGTAATGCGATACTCCAGTCTTCGTAGGGTCGTACTCTGCGTACTTCGGCTTTCTGAACGCACTATTGAGGGCTCTAGTCAGCCTCATTCTCAATTCTATCTTAAAATGCTTTTAAATCTTATACTTGTAGCTACAAGCCTGGTCTTTTTATCATTCAATTAAAGTAAGATTCAAAATTTCGGGGCTAATAAAATTTACTTGAACAACGGTCCCTTCATCTTATGCTCTTCACAAACCAACTTTGCCACCTTTACAATGCTGACCATTAAAGTTTGGTTGTTTTCTTTGGCGGTACTAGTTGCTGCACCCAAATAATAATCAATCATAAAAATTATCAGTTTTAGGAAATTACACTCGAACAGAATTATTATGGGTTTTCATAGCTCCCAGCAAAACTTGCATCTGTTAAAACTGATATGGGATTAGCGGAGACCAAAAACACAAACTTATTACTAACTCATAGCGGTGGGCATAAAAAGGAATCCACGTTCTAATGCGACAATCAAATCTGTAAACAGATTTGATCTCATTACGACCAGGATTCAGCCTTTTGCCCACCACTTGAGATACAAACAGGAGTCCCCTCATTACATTTTCCAATCAAAATTCTAGGAATTTTCAAGATATGGAAGAGCTAAGTTTAACATGAATAGCAGCGAAGAGAGTCAGATGGTTGGGCATCAAGCCAGACAGATTGAGAAAACTAACACCTGCAAAGAATAAACCGGAATTGAAAGAAACTCAAAAAGGTTGACATGATATGAGGCTACGGGTCTATCAAATATTTATACTAAGCTGCGCTTTGTACCCTTGGCTTTTAATAAAAAAACTTCTTCGAAAGTAGTTCTATCAATAATAGTGACGATACACGGGTAGCGTTCACAACCTGTATTGTATTGCGAGAAAGATTCTCTGCTTAAGAAAACTACCTGCCCTGGGTTCCTCGGTACACGCGCTCAAGTTTTTACAGAGCTTATTTAGAAAAATCTGTGCTACGACCTGCGGCACCCGGAACTTCAAAATCTATTGGTTCAAAAACACATCCATCATTAATTAAATCTATATATTTGTCAGTTTTGCAATTTTCCGCCTCGGCCGCCGCCTTTTCCGGGGTTAAAAACAGTGATTGCAAGAACAGCATAAAAGTTGAAATTAAAACGCGTTGTTCTCAAATTATTATAGGTTCTAAAATATTAGTGTATAAGATCTTATACATCTTTATATATAAATAAGATCTTATATTTGATCTGCACTTATATCTTAAGCTCTACACTATTATTTGAGAACCTATATTAATTTTAGAACAACGCGTTTTAATTTCAAGTTTTATGCTGTTCTTTTGTTCGGTCAACGTAAATCAACACAGAACTAACGTATACGAAAAAAATATAACATTCTACTGAGGAATTTCAGAAACTTATTCGGTCCAAAATAGTTAGTGAAAAACAAGGGTGCCATTCGAGTAGAATATCAATCGGTTATAGTTGAAAAAAGAAAAGCATGAGCTACGTTGAGAATAAGAATGAAGGCGTTATTTGAAAGATAGACCAAAAAAAAATAATGGTCTGAAAATTGAAGTAATTTTTTTTTAATTTCGATTGTCAATATCATGACCCGTACCGTCGACTAATTTTGCGGCAATTGAAACACCGCAAACATCAGAGCTACGATTTCAATTATAGTGATTAGTTGAGAAAAACCCTCTTAAACTGAAATACGAATTAACGTTCGAGCAATTGTAGGACGACCAAAACCTGCAACGAAACGATTGTGCCATTACAATCGTTATTTTCTTTATATAGCGAAACAGGAAGGCTGGGTAACAAAGAGTAACCCTTTCCAGTTGTGGAAAAACCTCTTCTTCAACGAAGACCGAAAACCATGAAGAGTCTGTCTTTGAAATCTTAAACTTTATCATTTTAACTCTTAGCTCCACGGGTATGTCCTGACATTATTTTAAACACTAATTTTACATTTTATAAACTACTTTGAGTCAAAAAATATTGAAAAGCTAGGAGTTAGGAAGCGGTCGATCCATAAAGGACAACAAAATTCGACTGTTGGGTATTGTTGAACAATTTGTATCCCTGCGTACAAAATGTACAAAATCAAACGGCATTGAAGTAACCTCTAACAGAGTCGCGAATCTTAGTTCGGGCAGCAGGATGGATATATTAATACTTGTAAAACTACTTGCGCTAATTGTATGATTTTTTAATTGAGTTTTTCAGCAGATTTGACACATTTATGTTCGAATTAATGCTCAAAATAGTGATGATATACCGTAACAACATGAAGTTTTGGATTTATCCATTTTTTCTACATGTACAAAGCGCAAGTATAATGAACTTAAATAAAATTGAACTAATATAACCAGATTGGAAAAAAAAAAAGTATGGTGTGTAACATTCGCCCGGAAGATACATATCGACGGAAAATAAAGCTAGGTTCTAAGACGACTGGCCAACGTCTAAACAGAGCTCTACATGCTTTTCATCGTCTCTACCAAGCCAGTACTTTCGGTGGTCTTTCTAACATCGGGTCAACAAAAAACGTTACTGCTTTCGGCTTCGGTCAAAACACTCAAATTAACTAGATTACATGCAGAAATAGTGAGCTCATGGCTGGGTCTCAGTATCCCTAGACCACGAGGTCACTCCTAAAAACAGGGCTACTACTATTTATTGAATTATTATTGTTTTTGTTCAGTAGATAAAAATCATCATCTCCATCGAAGATGGATCAACCCTTTCCCCCTTTCCCCCTTTCTCCTTCCGGAAGGCTGTCTTCCACCCTTCACCGTTGTTCGCAACGGCCTTGCAACTATTGTAGCGACACATTAGTTGCAACTCGGAACGGTCTCTGCTACTTCTGCAATTTGAGGTTGTTTTCCAATCACAAATCTCGTCGTTATCGCTATCACAACTAATGCTGTTGTTGTGTTTTTATTCCGGTTTTCTGCCGTTTCTGACGTTTCTCAGAAATATGACGTCATACTTCGAAAATTTAAAATTTTGAAACAACAGAATAATCTAGCCTTCACCGTCAATTTGGAAGGTTAGCTGCTAAAATTTCGAATCTGTTGAATCTGCATTTTGGTCCATTCGAATGAAACAGAGAGCGTCTTTCCGCTTCGCGCACGCTACTGCTGCTCCCTCTTGGGTTATCAGATCCCTCAGGTTCGTCATAAGGAAAACTTTCTCTTCTTTTGACCTTTTCCTTTCTTCTGAGTCATATTCCCCGCGAGTTAATCCCATCATGCACCAGGCAAACCTAAGTTGTAATTCGGTTCTTACGTAGGGTACTGCCATGAGAGCGTGTATTCTCAGCGCAGTCCTCATTTCCTCTTCGAAGTACTTCAACACCACTGCTTTCCATGGAAGGCTCACTAACTGCTCGATCGTTTCCGCCTGCATCTCGAATGACGCTTAAGTTCCATACGTTTTCTGTTTGAGGGTGGTGCCTCGCAACATCGTCTCCAGATAACCTTCCATGGCCATTTCGTCTTCCAGAGCCATCACATACCCTCTAGCCGAGTTTCGGTATTCCAACATCTCCATGTATCCACCGGCGGGTTCATCTATTGACACAGTCTCCGACACTGTCAGTCGGTTATACTCCATGGTACTAGTTGTCCTGCGACATTTCCCTTTCCGTGGTTCATGGGAGATGGTTTAAAGTCTTTCATCGATCTTTCTCCATTTTGGCTAAGTATTTCCATTTCTAAGGTTGCTCCAGTCAGAGTGCGGTCACTCCTTCTAGATTTGTAACCTGTTGACTTTATCCCTGCCATGAGAATGGGTGGCACCATCGCTACATCGGTTAACATTCTGTTCGTGCCAGGTAATTGATAACCACCTTGTCCCAAATCCATGGCTTCTTCGACTCGTTTTCGTTTCGCTGAATTGACAGCTTTCATTGATATCTCTGAATCCACCTTCGTCTTTCCCACTCTCCTCGGCATCACCTTGCTGCCTAACTTCATCTTCATCTCATTGATCTTATCAATCACCAATTTTGATCGCATCGTTCCCCTCCTGGTTCTTGACAGATATACCACCTTTCCTTTATCATCTTGCGGTGTCATCTTGATGGGAGATTTCGCCTCACTTTCATCAGTGGCTGAGTCAATCAACAACTCACTCAATCTCCCTTCACACTCATCAAGTTTGTCCAGGACTTCCCGCATCAATGGTCGGTTGAGACTTGTTTTCAAAATGGACTGGGTCCCATAGCTCTGAACCACTGTCCAGACTTCTTCCATGAACGCCACTCTGTCCAATCTGCATCCCGTCCTACTTTCATGGTCTCGGGGATGTACTTACCACTCTTCTTCTGGCAACGTTCCCAATAAAGGTATTCTGGCTCAGCCCTCTACTCTTCTTCTTCTAGGTGATTCCATGAAGATTCTTTGTTCGTTATTTCTTGAATTGCCAGGAGAGCTGCTCTCCGGCAAATTCCATTTCATTTCCATAAAGGCTGACGGAGGCTCCAGTGTCGAAATGCCTTCATCCGCTGGCTCAGTCGTCTCCAACGTATCCGCGTTGTTCTCAAGATCACTGAACATATTGAAATCCAGGCTGGATAATCCTCCTACCGATGCCCTGTCGTCTTCCCCACCAGCTTGACTTGCATCTTGTTGCATGGGTTCTTCCGCTTGACGGCTTCCTCCCTGTCCGTCATCTCCTTCTGACATATCCTTCTTTGAGCTCGAGGGTCCTTGCTTCTCATTGTCGGCTCCTTCCGGAAATTTCGGTATGATCAGTGTGCCTGCTGATCCATCTTCCTCCTCTCCATGGACCACTTTGATTTCCTCGCAGCCGAAGGGTGCTAGGAAGGTTCTCGCCTGCAGTGTTCCTCCTACTTTCAATTCCGGTTTCACACTAGTCAGGATCAAGGCGGCCTCAGACAGTTCGGTCCTGCCTCCCATCTTCATAGACGCTAAGCCTAATCTCGCCCATTCCTCGTCAAATCTTCCAGGCTTGGGAGTCGCGGCGTTGATTATTCACCTTCTCGTCCTTTGATCCGTAGGCAAATCGTGTGTATTGTAACACGGCGGCATTTCTCCCTACAAAGTATGGATCCATTGTTCCCACGAAATTCCCTATTCT